CAACGCACTGATAATTCGGTTCATTCTGTTAGTAATAAGATTAATTGCAAGCAGAGCGTGCCAATAAAGTTAGAAATAGTAAATATGGATTATAAATAACGAATACTTACATAGCATACTTTCTCGGCATATGGGTTGCATAATGAACTATTCTCCTACATGACGTGCAGAATGTTTATTTCAGTATATTTTGCGAAGAAACATAATATAGTTAAACCATTTATCCAAAACCTTTTTATCTGATATTAGAAGCGAGTTTGAGATTAGGAGAGAATGGCCATAAGAATACATGTCAATTAATTGTCGAGTTTCGATCTAGTAATCAGGTTAAAGAGCCACCAAAGACAAATAGTCAGTATCATACCCACAACTACTGAATCTGGTTTTATAATTTTATGCCAAATCTTCATAGTAAAACAAATAATAAACCAGATAAAGTGACGTCAAATTGGAAGACTTTCCACGCAACGCCGATATCAATTCATAAAGGATTTAGTTCAGCACAAGTTAAACCCACTGAGAAAAAAGCTGTTACGAACATGTACAACAGAAAAACTAAACGGATCAAGCTAGTCAAACAAGCCCACAGTTTTTCCTTTCCTACCGGTGGTACCGCCCATCAAGCAACTTGTCCCTTCCCATGTCTGATCGTACGGCGTAACGGACGCAGCAGTGCCCACCGCCGCACCGCTGCAGTACTGGCAGAACAGTCAACCAGACCGGCACGCCGCCGTTGAATCCAGAAAGCAGAAGTAAAGACGATTGTATGGAAAAATCTGATGTGTGAAATTATCGGTGTTCAGAGCGTATATACAGATATATACACTGTCCTACAAAAGTTTGGACTCAGAAAAATTCATTCTCAACATATACAACGAATTTATATATAACAGTATTTTATTAATGGCTTTAAGCGTTTTCTTTTAATGTTCATCTCTTTATTGTATCAAAATATGTTAATTTAAAAATATTGAATAATTGATAATATTAAAATTCATCACTTTGAATTACTGTAACTATTTTGGAGCTCAAATCAATATTTAGTCGATGCATCGACACTTTAAAATGCGCGCCAATGACTTTGAACGCCATCTGCCGTCGATTGTCTGTAACATGATGTTAAATTTGTATACTTTAACACTTGAATTACTGTTGCACATTGCACAAGACTTCCATCTGTTTTGCTGCTTCAAAATTGTGTCCATATGAAAATGGCAAGAGCAAAGCGATTATCGAAAGAAAAACGTGCTCAGATAGTAATTTCGAGTGAAATCGGGCATTCGCAGGGAAAAATTGCCCAAATATTGAGTTCTCTCAGAAAGGAATCCGGACAACATTGGAGATTCGCTGAAACCAAATCATTTTCCGACGGGAAACGCTCGGGCCGATCCAGAAAAACGACAAAAAGTGATGATAGGCTTATACAAGTGTTAAGTAAGAGGTCTGGACTCAAAACAGTGCCAGATATTACCGGAAGAGATCAATCAAATATGCTACCGAACCCGATCTCCGGTCACATGTCGGCTGCATGATGTCGGTTTGTATGGACGTGTATTTGCCAAAAAACACTGTTGCGATCAGTAAATGTTTGTAAACGACTCAAATGGGCAAAAGAACACAAAAATTGGTCTATCGAATGATGGAAACGGGTGTTATGGACCGATGAGTCCAATTTGAAATTTTCGGTAGCAAACGGCGAAAGCACTGCCGCAGAAAATCTTGATGAACGACATGCAATGTGTAATGCCAATAGTTAAGTTTGGTGGTGTCAGCGTGATGGTGTGGGGGTGTTTCTGCTACGCTGGTGTCGGCGCATTGGTGAAAATAAATGGGAAAATGCGAAAAGAAGACTATCAACGAATACTTCAGGCCAACATATTGACGAAAAACGGCTGGATTGATTTTTTCATTTGTTTACGCAAAAAAACTCAAAAATATCACAACAAAATGTTTATAAAACATTATTCCAAATAAACGTTATATAAAGCGATCTGAGAACAGTAATTAAAGAGATAGATAAAAAAAGATTTTTCTAAGTGAGTCTAAACTTTTGCATTGCAGTGTATATATACAGTAATGGACAAAAGTATATAGACAAATATGAATATTTACCTAAACACCTTTAGAAAACGAATTCATACTTCATTGCTCCATAAACAAATGCGCTATTAGTAGAAAAACTAAATTCCTTGTTCTTACATTATCTGCAATGAACACAATACAAGTCTGAATATAAGCACTTTTTTATGATTGACAAAAATATGCAGACAAATTTTTTTCAACATTATTTTAGTACAGTTTCGTGTCAGAAGAGGATTAGTTTGTGTTCATCAAGTATTGTGGAATAAGTTGAGTGATTTTAAGACCATGCCGCGTGGTCCAGAAATTTCTTTCGATCTGAAAACTAAGATCATTGAGTTATTCAAAGATGGTCAACGTCAAGTCAACATTGCCAAAAATTTGAAGCTGCAGCGCAAAGCAGTTTGGGCAATATTGAACAAATATAAACAAAAAGGTATCTTGGAAGCCTCTAAGAGAAATGGGCGGTCTAGAAAACTAAATACTAGATCAGTTAGATTAATAAAAGTAATCTCGTCCAAAGATCCGTTTAAAACTCCAAGACAAAAGCCGAAATCGCGACAAATAGAATTGTCAGTGTTTCTACGAAAACTATAAGGAGAAGATTAAATGATTTGAAGTTTTTTGCACGTCGCCCCAGTAAGAAGCCGCTAATCTTGAGGAAAAACCGTAAGGACCGATTACAATTTGCATGGTTGCATCTTGATTGGAGCATCTGTGACTGGAAGAGGGTATGTTTCAGTGACGAATCCAAGTTCAATATGTTTGAATCGGATGGTGTTCATTACGTTAGACGTCCTAGTGGACAAAGATTGAACCCCAAGTAAACTTTACCCACTGTCAAACATGGAGGCGGGTCTGTTATGGTTTGAGGGTGCTTTTCGGGGTTTGGGATGGGACCTTTACATAGAATAGGATGGATAAGTTTGTATACACAGACATACTAAAGCATGTCATGTTACCCTATATGGAAGACAATATGCCCTTAAGATCAATCTTCCAGCAAGATAATGACCCGAAGCACACTTCAGATCTCGCAAAGAAATTCTTTCTGGATGAAAAAATACCAGTTCTCAAATGCCCTTCACAGTCTCCCGATATAAGCCCCATTGAAAATCTATGGGAATACTTAGATAAGCAAATACGAGATAAAAATTATTCAAACAAGGATGAACTTTTTGCCGCTTTAGAGCAAAAGTGGAGACAGATTGATGAATCTTATATCAAGAAACTTCTACAATCTATGCCCAGACGATGCCAGGCGGTGATTGATAACAATGGTTATGCTACAAAATATTAACACAAACATGGTTGGTTTTCTATAATTCAATGAACTTTGCTTCTTTTTTCTATAATTGTTTTGCTTGGTCTACATATTTTTGTCCTTCATAGTTACAGTTTTTTTCAATTAATTTTTTATTGAAGGGAGTCTAATGGATTTATTTATGTAGTGTGAGTATTATGCTATAACGAATTATGTATACAGGTTGGTGTATTAAAACAAGTTAAAAAAGAAATGCATCACAATATTAATTTGTCTATATACTTTTGTCCATTACTGTATATATAGATATACATACTAACATTAAAAAATTGTTTTAATAATTACATACATTTTTGTGAAAATGATCAAATGCCTCTGGTGCATCAAAAAACGAAGTTCCAGTGATTTCTATTTTTTCGTGTTTCTACCCTTATCTCCGCCGCCACTGAACCGATTTAAATAAATTACAAAGTCTTTTCGTCCCTGGCATAGTAGTGACCTTGCGTGACAGCTTGTACTTCCCAAGTTATAGACGAGACAAGGACTAGCGGACAGACAGACAGACTGAAGGAAATGAATGACATGGTTTTTCATGATGTACATGTCATATAACATCGAAAAAACATAATATTTCATTTTCGAATTTTTTCGCGATTCAAATAATTACGAGTAGCTAACAGTTTCAGAAATCAACAAGTCTTATTAATTGCTTTAAGTCTTACTACGCTGCTACTGGATAGATTTTTAATAACTGAAATGTTTTGTCCATTATCATTGTTTTATAGGCGTACATAATTATTTGAAAAGCCCAAAAATGTTGTCGCCCCCGTACTCTAGAAAATTAAAATTTAAATGAATAAAATAATAAGAGTGAGTTTCCCAGCTAATCTTCTCTGGAATGCCAGTTAATAAATTTGGGGGCAAAGGGTGTTAGAGATAATTACTGTCCCATTTGGAAAGCATTCTTAAAATAGATGAAAACAATTTCTTTAGTCACCCATTCGAATAATTGTAGAATTTGTAGAGCAAATATGTCACTTTAAAACTGAAGGCAATTCACTTTTAATATGTAGTTAAACGCGACATTGTCCAACATTAAATGCATCATGTAGCATCGTGGTGGAGTCACAGTCATCAAGCGGTGACGTGAATTTATAGAATGTTCCTTATCCCTATAAGCGGAAAGCAAGCCTTTTCAAGCAAGGATGCCTATAGTTCATTTCAAGGTTTTTTATTTTGACGTCACACTGTCATACGAAATAAGAAAACCGGTTGCCTAACTGTACCATGTGAGGGTTTCAGTCTCATAAATGAAATTACAGTCACTGCGCAACCCGAAACTTTACTTTTTGTAAATATTTCAATACGACACGACATTGTAGTTGTATCCTGAAGGCATTGCGATGTGTATTATCAGGGATCAACAAAAGATAAATTCAAATCAAACGCCCGCGAGAGGCAGCTCTTCATTCTGAAGCCTCACACGTTGACGAGAAAATGTTCCAAGGCGCTGAGACAAGACTAAGAAGTGACGTCAAGTAGATTAACTCTGTATTTCCCACGCGATTGTGGACAAATCGACTTTGTATATGCATCAAAAATCTGAGTCAACTTTTGTAAGCTTGCGTATCTTGATTGTTCTGTTGTTCTGGTATATTTGTTTGCCGGCTACAAAAATCCATGTACCGTGAAAAAGGTATTCTGGATTTGTCAAACATCGTAATTATTGACATTGAATAGGCACGGTGTACGAGGATTGTACGGAAAATACGTATAAAAAATTCGGGGCGTCGCATAGGGGTATTTGACCGATTTAGCTGGCCAAAACTCAATTTTGTTAATCAATTCGCATTTTAGGATAAGTACTACCCCAAGCAAGCTAAATAGTTGTTGATTCAGGTACAACCCCTCCCCGGTACCTACCACCCTAATCCGTGTTATTATTTCAGTTGAAATCTAGACGTCGTCGTGGGTGTACCTATTGTTTCTCTCCATTGTTTGTGTAGCGTTACGTTTTAACTGTGAATATTGTGTGTGTGGCTGTAATTATTGCAATAAATTTTAGTGGATTCTGAAAATTCAGGTAAGACTGCATATACCTGTATTTTAAGTAATCGTATTTCTAATCATAACTTTATTAACAATAAGAGCATTAGGAATAATAGCTTTTATTTGAACACTTTTTAGCGTCTATATTATAAACAGGAAAGCATAAAGTACATTTCAGGGTGCGTCCCTGCTATATTTTTTCATATATCAGACAGAATAGCTCTTTTGCATTATAACTGTACAAAAATCAGCCGCGGATAGCCGCGTTTTTTCGTGATTTGGAGTTATTAAATAATAAGATATAGATAATTGTGTTGTCCAGTTTGAATCCATTTTGGCATAAATTCATTTTTACTTGATTTCAGGGTTACCAGGTGGTTCCAACACTACACTAGTTTCTTGGAAATCTTTATTCGATAGGATGCAACAACAAGACCTGCCTAATATTTCAACGAAAAATTAGAATATCTCGCAAACGACCTTTTATTGTGTAACGATTATTCGGATGAAGAAGTTAAAGAGATAAAGCATACATTTTCATATTTGAAATCTGAGTTTAAGCAAAGGTGGATAAGAGCACATAAAAAAGAGGATGTGTTCTTGAAAGATAATGACAAGTGGTTACAAGGATATTTCTCAATCCCTACAGGTAAGCAGCAGCGTTCTTGTCGACCGCAAAAAACATTTTCTGAATCTTCTGAGAGAACCAAACGTAGAAAAACAAAATCAGTTCGAAGTGCGAAGAATACAGATGTATTGGTGCATGCAGCTCAGACATCATTACAAACTTCTGGTCAGAGGGATGCCTCAACTGTACTTAAAGACATAACTAAATCTTCGAAGCGTGCTGAGAAATACAAAAAGGCTTTTCGTAAGTCCCTGCAGGATAATGAACGACAACTTACACCATTACAAGCGCTATCGATGTTTCTTGAAGCTGACCTTTCAATGCGGCAGTATGAAATAATTAGGAGTGCAAACAAAAAATACTATCCAAGTTAGTGTATTGCAAAGGGCGAAAAAAGAATGCTAAAGCATCGTATCCAGTGAGACGAGTGCTGAAGCAAATTTACAACACTTGCTAGATCATACCGTAACACGACTGTTAACGGATTTGGGACAAGTTTTAAATGATTTTGATCAAGAAGAATGCATCACATTAGTGTTGATTTGTAAGTGGGGTTGTGATGGTTCACAGCAAGCTCAATTTAAACAAAAAATGGAAAATAATGCTACAGATGCCAATATCTTCCAAAGTTGCTTCGTACCACTTCAATCAGCTTGCGGTACAAATAAAAAAAATTATTTGGCAAAACCCGACACCATCTTCGCCTCGCTACTGTCGCCCGATTAGAATAACATTTGTCAAAGAATCTGCAGATATCACAATCGATGAGATTAGATGTATAGAAACTACCGTAAATACATTACATAATACTGAATTTACAATGGGAGGGAAATCCTTTTCGATAAAGCATATAATGAAATTAACCATGGTGGATGGTAAAGTATGTAATGCTGCTACACATACCTCATCAACAATGAGATGTTACATTTGTGGGGCAAATTCTAGGCAGCTCAATGATTTAACCATCAAGAGGGATATTAATACAGAAACGTTAAGATTTGGATTATCAGTATTGCATGCCAGGATCACGGTATTTGAAAGCATATTACACCGGTCCTATCAACTTTCAGCGAAGAAGTGTCAAATAAGGTCAGATGAGGACAAAGCTCTTGTAAAACAAAGAAAAGCAACAATACAAGAAGCATTTAGAAGGGAAACTGATTTAATAGTAGACGTGACAAAAGGTGGTTTTGGAAACACTAATGGCTTAATACCAGGAGAAGATTCTTTGCCAACCCACAACTAGCAGCCGACATAACAGGGGTCAATTTCGAACTTATTTACAGACTCAAAGTAATCTTAGAGGTTATATCAAGTGGTCATGAGGTCAACTACGAAAAATTTTCAGACTAAGGTTTTCAAACTGCTAAACTTTACATTAAACTATATCCATGGCAGCCTATGACACCTACAATGCATAAAATCCTTGTTCATGGTGCAACTGTAATGGAAAATGCATTATTACCTATCGGGTTGCTATCGGAAGAAGCCGCAGAAGCACGAAATAAGCAATAATAAGCAAGTGGGGCGTGCAACCTTGATGTATTCAACAGGTTGTTGCTAAGCTCGGATCTTCTCTTGAGTAGTATAAGGCCAAAGCCGAAAAAGACAACTAAACCATACTCAAAAGAAGCCATTGGTATGTTGCTTCCAGCTGATCCTAACCCGATAAATGATTCGGACTCCACGGAAGAAGCAGAAGAGGAATCTGATGAAGAGTCGTGCGCTGTAATTATCTTAATAATTGTATATCTATATTTTCCCATTAAATAAAATTCGAATTTACTGTATTCTAACTGTATACAGGGTGACTTCGAAGTTGAATCATTTATTTTAACAGTGAGTAGATCTGATCAAAAGAAATGTTTTTTCCTTTACCATTTTTCTGGTAAAATTAAAGTAACAAAGTTATAGCCCTTTGGAAGTTTGAGTACCACCCTGTCTCAATAATAATATTTTGTGCTCGTGTTTGGCGACAACGGATATAATCCGCCGTATCGGTTCATCGCATCGGAAACAAAAAGCGAAAGAATTTGGAACGATGTTTTTACAATTATTTTATTCATTTGTATACAGTCAGTGTCAGTGAATAGTGGTGTCTGTTGCGTGGCTCAAACGAAATAAAAAATGGCACATGTTTATGCGGATCGGTTTCCCAATCGAGTGCAACCAACCCCTCGTGCCTTTGTTAATGTAGTACAACGGGCTCGTGAATCAGGTGACGGCATGCCGGTGCTCCAAGACCTCACGATCAAATACAGGTCCGCACTGAAATACTTGTCGGGAGGATACTTTATAAAACAAGGTAAATTGTTTTTATATTTTTTTTTTTATTTTTACACACATATTTTGGTTTATCTTCCTTCTACAATCATTATCTGAAAATTAATGAGTCAACTTCAAAGTCAAAGTATAACTATTTTATTTATATAACTCAATTATACACAAAATATAACGCATTCAATCATGTTCACCAAATAAATAATTTTGGCCAGCCAAATCGGTCAAATACTCCAATGTGCGTCGTGTCAAGGCGTTGTGGAAGGGTGGCCCGGTGGTTCCCTCTCTCTATGCAATCGGACAAACCTCTTATAGTATCTGAATAAACTTTATTTTTCTCTGGTATGTTTACTCCTGGAAACCACTACAGCTGGTCATGTAATATAATAAATATATTTGACGAAAAAGTATTGACCGTTTAATTTTCTTGGGACAGATTTTCAAAAACTACAACGCTTTTTCGTTCTTATCACAATAGTGACCTTGTGTCAGCTTACGCAGACGTCCAAGATTAGAAGCAGATTGTATATAAATGTATGAGATATACAGGGTGTTCCATAATTATTGCGACAAAATGATAGGGGTTGTAGAGGGCATAAAAATATGCAATTTTGCCTTATAAACCCCTGTTCGTAAATATGCCGTTTGAGCACTACAGTTAATTTTACCTTAAGAGCTCATAGGAGAAACAAAAAATTCACCAGCTGCAAAATGTTCGTCTAGCACATTTCATGGTCTCGCCGGTTTGTAGAAAAAGCCTGCTGTGTTTACATTTTTGTTATCGTACACCCGTACCACCTTTTAAAAGTCCAAGCCATGGGTCCAGCAGACTATCTGCCGCGTCGACGTTTTTGTCGTTGGTGGCTGCAGCAGGAGTTGAGGCAACCAAACTTTGGTCGCTACGTTTTGTTCACTGACGAGTCCTGTTTTACAAAGGACGGTTATTTTAATAGCCGTAACAGTCACATTTGGGATGAAGAAAACCCTCATGCCATAGCCATCCATAGAGACCAACATCAGTTTTCAATTAACATCTGGTGCGGCATTGTGGACGAGCATATCATCGGGCCATATCTGCTTCCACCACGTTTGGATGGGCATGCTTATGGTCGATCCTTACAGCATGTGCTACCGGAACTATTAGAAAATGTGTCACTGAATATAAGAGCCAACATGTGGTTTCAACACCATGGCGGTCCAGCCCACTTTTCTTTACAAGTGCGGCAGTTTTTGGACGACAAATTTCCAAATAGGTGGATAGGCCGAGGTGGCCCTGTGCCTTGGCCTGCGCGGTCACTTGACCTGACTCCACTGGATTATTTTATCTGGAGATATCTGAAAGCTTTAGTGTACGAAACTCCTGTTCCCAACCAACAAGAGCTACTGGGAAGAGTGATGGCCGCGTCCGCACATGTTCAGGACATACCGGGGGTATGCCACAGAGTTCGCCGATCATTGAACAATCGTGCACAGGTGTGTATTGAGCAAGGTGGAGGACACTTTGAGCAATTACTGTAGGTAAGTTGTTTCAAGAAACTGATCTTTTTTTTTGCTGCAGCCCAAACGGCATCTTTCCGAACAGGGGTTTATAAGGAAAAATTGTTCATTTTGATGCCCTCTACAACCCCTATCATTTTGTCGCAATAATTATGGAACACCCTGTATAGATGGATGTATGTATGAAAGTAGAATCCCAAATAACAAAGCCCACGTCATCAGAAAATCCCCCATGGAAGCTTCGAGAGATTACGGAACTTTTAATAAATAATGAGGTTTCTGGGAATAGCATTGATCCTTACTACCGAGTCCAAAGGCATGTAACGTTGCCGTTTTCCTGCTAGCGTGATTATTGTGTCTTGTTTAACTCCGTCTTGAACGGTAAACTGAATCCAATGCTTATTATGGTAGTTAGCACCAACACAATCTACAGAAATTTCAAAAAGTGGATGGTAATTTCGTTTAAAAAATGGCACCAAGTAGATCAACTCTGTACTCTCCGCGCAATTCGGGACAAATGGACTTTAAATATGCAGCATGTAAACCTATAGCATCTGGATCACTTTACGTACGTTCTGATATCTTTACTATTCGCCTTTACAGCTAGTGATGTTATAGAAGTTTTTATGGTGAATAATGTCTGGACAATGTTTGCACGCTTTGATATCATTATATCGTCCGGCGTCGTTGACGATCTCGATGACGCTATGACTGCGACACCGTCGGTGAGCCACAGACATGCGAAATGTATGTGGTATTGTGTTCAACAGATGGGTAATACTACCGGGATCACAAATTTATGAATACCACATAATTCACTGATACCAAAGATGCAAATGTCACAACCCACTACCCCCTAGAATTTCCAATCCCCAATGTTCAACCACTATAATTTTTTTTGCGCGGTAAACTGGAGCGTTGTCATGGTGAAGGTACCAAGTGTCCATTCTTGACTCTGGCCGCAGGTTTTTCGTAAACTCGATGACTTTAGGCAGGCACTGTTCCGTGTACCACTTAGCTGTGACTGTCTTATGTGTGTTCAAAACGACACGCTCCACAATCCCACTCGATTTCAAAAATACAGCTA